TCAAACAGCCATACACACACATGATCAAACAATCATACACACACATGATCAAACAATCATACACACACACACATGATCAAACAATCATACACACATATGATCAAACAATCATACACACATATGATCAAACAATCATACACACACATGATCAAACAATCATACACACACATGATCAATCATATACACACACACATGATCAAACAATCATAAACACACACACATGATCGAACAATCATACACACACATGATCAATCATATACACACACACACACATGATCAAACAATCATACACACACATGATCAATCATATACACACACACACACATGATCAAACAATCATATACACACACATGATCAAACAATCATAAACACACACACATGATCGAACAATCATACACACACACACGATCAAACTAGACAATTATACACACATACAAATACACACTTTTTTTTACCAACTTACGTCCTGATAGCCTCCGATCTCTATCAGTTACATATCACAGTAGGTGTCGTGTATACACCACAGTGCGTGTCAAGTGTGTACACACCACAGTGCGTGTCAAGTGTACACACCACAGTACGTGTCAAATCTCGTGTACACACCACAGTACGTGTCAAATCTCGTGTACATGCCAGAAAATACGCTTGTAACAGCCACAGCACGAATTAAACACACAGGACACAGAATTCACTCCGATCAAAATGCCAGTTACACACATCTCAATCGGAACTTTCCGCTCAGCTGTCAGCAGCTCATTTAAATAGCCTCCAGATTGCCAGGACAAATTGTCGAACGGCTGGTCACCCAGGGTCGTGACGTCATACCGTGGTGTTGACCTTAGTGCACCAGTCAGCTGGGGTGGTGCACAGCCTCTGGTCACCCCCCCCCCCAGTCACGTGAGGTGACCTCCAGTTAGTGTAGGCTAGTGTCTGATTTTTAGATCGGTGTAGATTGCCCCCCCCCCCCCCCCCGTAAAAGGACCGACAAATTTAAAATCAGCGAATCGATCTAATGCAAGTCAGTCAGAACAAAAGGGGTGGGGGGTAGTCCTGGAGGCTTCTCTTAAGTTCATCCAGTCCCACGCCGCTGTATTAGTGTAAAGTGTAAACCATCTGCTGCTCAACCTGTAGATATGCCGCGAATGATACCAGTTTCTTCCAGGCATATGTTCGAGTGGGTGGGTGGGGAAAGAGAAAGTCTAACCCATCCCCTTCCAAACGAAATTGAATTTATATAGAAAACATACTTTTATCAGGGTCTCCCCCCCCCCCCGAATGATACTGTAAACCATTAACAAGTCAACTTATAGATATGCCGGGATAGTAGGCCTTACTGTAAACATCTGCAAGCCAGGGGCGGAACTACAGTGCCGCCAGACCCGCAATGCGGGGGGGCCCAGACCAATTGGGGGCCCAAAAATCCTGGTTAAATTATAAAAAAAAAAAAATAGGTGGAGGTCGAGTTATTTTTCTTCTACAGTTACAAACAAACACGATAGTCGGCAAACGTCTTTGAGAAAATGCACAGAGCTTAGCTCGAGAGACCGCCAGACATATAGACAACTTTAAAGACGTAGCCTACCGTTCCTTTTTTAGTGGCGTCGATTAGGAGAACAAAAAACATTGTTATATTGTTTACATTATTAAAATACATATCTATGACTGTGTGTTTAAACTACTGGCCTGAATTCTACAAAAAATATAATTATTTATTTCGATCTCATACATTTATAATTGCGTTCATTTTTACTTTAACAACTGTATCAATAAACTTGTAAAAGTTTAAATTATCTCCCTTCAGCGAAGCATCTGAAATTTGACTGTGCCGGCACGCTTTGAAATCGGGCTGGGGATATGTTGCGGCGACTATCCTGGTTTTCTAGACGACCGGAAAAAGTCGGCACTATTGATGTAGATGTTTATCGGCGCTTTCTTGTCCCCTTCCAATGAACCTTCCTAACTCTCTCCCCTCGCCCCCTCTCACCCCTACCCCTCACCTCTACCCCTCACCCCACCACACCCTTACAATAAGATGTAATGCATAGAATAACGAACCCAGTGTTTCTTCCAGACTTTTTTCTCCGGGGGGGCACTTGAAATCTTCGGAGGGGCGGTAAACTTTCTTCGGGGGGGGGGGGGGGGCGGACACTGTTAAAAGTATATATTTTCTATATAAATTATATAAATTTCATTTCGTTCGGGGGAGGGGGGGGGGGATTTTTCGAGGGGGGGGGGGGGGCAAAGCCCCCCCCCCCCCCCCGAAGAGATGCCTGGAAGAAACTCTGAACGAACCGTCTATGAACTACTGAACTACTGAACTGTAAACTGACCACTTCTGCACATTTTGTTAAAGACACTAGTCAGTAGTTGTTCATTTACCTGTTGAACAGGGGCGGAACTACAGTCCCGCCAGACCCCACAATGCGGGGGGGGGGGGGGGGAGGCTGACCAAATTTAATATTTTTAAAAATTTTGATTTTAATTTTTGTGCATTTTTGCCTTAATATTTGGTTTGATAAAGAAAAACACTGTAGCTGCCGTACGATTATCTTTATTTTATAGTCACTATACCACGCTCTTCCGCAAAAGATAAAATCCATTACACAAACTACAGTGTAAAATATAGGCAACTCTTCAAATTTGAATGACTTCTTTGACTCGTTGCCCCCCCCCCCTTTAATAGCTAAATAGAGGACACGTTTCTGTTTGACCGATCCTCCAAAGTGTACTGTGGCGGATGGGGCAGGGGATGGGGACCAAAAAGGGGGTTCAAAAATTGTCGACAAATTTTTTACATATTTAAAACAGTTATTTATAGTTGTATTTTTTAAACATCGTCAAGGCCGAGTTCTATTTCCCCACAATCAAGCACATGCTGTCGCCGGCAAAATTCTTTTTAAAAAACAACAGTCCATAGCACGAAAAGCCGCTACATATGAAGTGGGCTTTCATGATGCGCGGTTCTTCTTTGCGGCATTGGTAAGGGACCCGAAATCCATTGTACATTTTTCAATGTTAATATGTGTTTGTGATAGTGGTTGAATTTGTATCCTGTACTATCTTGCATCCTACAAATAATAAAAAAATAATATAATACTAGAAACTTCAGTTATATATACGTTTACTTGTTTTTGCTTTTACAAGAAATATCATAGTAAACTTTTAAGGCCTATACTTGGAATTATCTCCCCTGAGAAAGTTTTACAATGGGCGATGCTGACGTACATAGATCAAGGCGTTTTCTTGTGTCTTTCAAGTTTTTCCCGAGCCGACCCCTATCCCATCCCTATTTCTCAACCTCACAAGTATCGAGGAGATAAATGTATCGTTTATGAACTACTTCCTAACCGTACGATTCACCACTTCAGCACATTTTGTCAGACACTAGACAGCACTAGATCTAGTCAACAGATATTAATTTACTTTCATAGTATTAGGCACATCTAATTCACAAAACAGGGCAGGTAAGATTATTTTTTATATAATTATTTAGAAATTAATTACAACGTTTAGAATTAATTGAACATTATTAATAGTCAATTACTATTTATAAATGATGTCATTGAGGTGGGGTGTGTGAGGGTCTGGCTTTTTGTTAGTCCCCCCCCCCTCCCCTAAATCAGAAGGTTATCCAACGCGTGACCTGGCCACATACAGTTGTACATGTGAAAAACATTTTTCTGTCTATTATGCATTACTGCATCATTCACCCAATCGCCATGAAAACTTGTGAAGCTGTTGAGTACAGCCCCGCAAAGGTTTCTGTCATAGGCCTAACATTTGTACATATTGGAGTGGGGACTCCTAACGGAAATATGTGATTTAGCACCCCGTGATCCTGCATAAGCGGATGAGGTTACTACTTGAATACAACCGGCGGCAGTGTCATCCTGAACGCATCACATATGAGCAAGTTGGCCCCCACAGACAGTCGTTTAAAAGTTCCCACAACACTAGGAATAAGTCTCGCTACAACACTCGATGACTAAATCTAATTAGGTGTCGCACCAATGTTTCTTCCAGGGTAGACTGTTTTCGGGGGAGGGGAGGGGGGAGCTCTGCCGGAAGAAACAATGTGTTGCACCCATCACACGTGCAGTAATGTAGCCGGTAGCTCCAAGAGCCCCGTGACTCCCCTGACACCTGGGCCGTCGCCGAGGGACTTACAGCATGCCTTGGCGTGTCTAGTTGGTAGTGTGGACAAACCCGCGCCCTAAGATCAAAGAAATGAACTGCCGACATTGTTAACATTTAATTCAACTTCTGGAAAACAGGGCACACGGTTGGTAACGTTTTGATGAAAGCCTCATAAAAATCGGCGTCAGTTTGGTGTGTTGGACTGGATTTAGAGAGTCCGTGTTTCTCACATGGAAAACTGAAGGGGGGCCAGCTCGCGTGTTGGAAAACCTCTGATTTATTCGTGTACCAGATCGATTTTTTTTAAAAATTTAGAGCGACCTTTGTTTTCCATTTATATATATATATATATATATATATATATATATATATATATATATATATATATATATATATAGGGGCCCAAAAAAAATTCTGCGGGGGGGCCTTTTTTTTCTAGTTCCGCCACTGCTGCAAGCCAACCTATGATGCAACCTTCCAATTAGCAAAAGGTATAAGTTGAGAACAATGTTCTGTCTAGGTTAAGATGTTATCTGCTGGGGTGTAAGAGATGCCAGACCCGAGGAAACCACACGGTGCTGGCAACAACAAGAATATACACGAACACATGCGTCTAGAATCGTCATCAAACATGTATGTGTAGGGGCGTGGTGGGTCATGTGTTTCTATGTGGTGGGTGGGTGGGGGCATGTGTTTCTATGAGTAGGGGTGGGTGGGTGCGGCCTGGCTCCACAAGAAGTGAGAGACCTTAATGCAAAAACAAAATACGAACAAAGCACAAACAAAGAAAACACCAAATGCAACAAAGTAAAGCAGAAACAGCAAATGCGGGAAAAAAATCCGACAAATAACAAAGATGGCGGTTAACACGTGGTTTACTGAAGGAAGTTTCATGGTAACATAATTAGCAACATCAGGTAGTTTCTAAACAACGGTAACAACGGAGATGCGTCAACACCAAGGTAGCGAGATCGTGGAAACACGAACAGAAAGTGACGTCACCAAGTGTGGTCCGGATCTGTCCAGGGAAAGCACGTGAAACAGGTTCCACACGTCACGTGATGAGTTCTGGGACCGACCACGTCCACAGATTTACCAGAAACAGCCCCCCCCCCACTCTTGTCCATTGCATCCCCCACACACGACCATCACAAAGGCTCACCCCCACATTGATACGTGATATAGAGACCCACACATTGGGGTGACTGGCTGAAATGAAGAGCATCCTGTCAACCTCTGCAGGGTTGGCCAGAGGTTGTCCATGTCGTCCATGTTGGCCAGAGGTTGGTCATACCCTCAGGAGCTACCCGTCTCGTCCAGTGAGTGACCAGAAGAGTTGGGGTCAACTGGCCATCCACCCCTCTCTATGTCGTCATCCAGCTGCCGCGTGGCCTCGTCCTGGGGGTGGGGGGAGGGGGAGTGAGACCATATTAGACGTAACGTATAATGGGGGTGGGGAGGGGGAGAGAGACCATATTAGACCTAATGTACAATGGGGGTGAGGTCAGACCTTATGTACAATAGGGGTGAGGTCAGACCTAATGTACAATGGGGGTGAGGTCAGACCTAATGTACAATGGGGGTGAGGTCAGACCTAATGTACAATGGGGGTGAGGTCAGACCTTATGTACAAACCTAGAATTGTTTTCTTTCCACTGGCTGTACCACACACAGTATGACCCCCCCCCCCACCTGTCATATGGTTACAGATTTTCACCAGTGTATGAAGGTAATGTCTAGTTTACCCAGCAACTGACACAAATTGTGCCAGGTACCCACAAGAGCTGAGTGGTCTCAGCCAGGTACCTAGGTGATGTTTCACAGATGTCAAGACTGGGACCAAGATTGTGTGATGTCAAAGATATTTTTGGTCAAAGATTGTGTGTTGTCAAAAATTGTGTGTTGTCAAAGATTGTGTGATGTCAAAGATTGTGTGATGTCAAAGATTGTGTGATGTCAAAGATTTTTTGTCAAAGATTGTGTGATGTCAAAGATTGTGTGATGTCAAAGATTGTGTGATGTCAAAGATTGTGTGATGTCAAAGATTGTGTGATGTCAAAGATTGTGTGATGTCAAAGATTGTGTGATGTCAAAGATTGTGTGATGTCAAAGATTTTTTGTCAAAGATTGTGTGATGTCAAATATTGTGTGTTGTCAAAGATTGTGTGTTGTCAAAGATTGTGTGATGTCAAAGATTTTTGTCAAAGATTGTGTGATGTCAAAGATTGTGTGATGTCAAAGATTGTGTGATGTCAAAGAGTGTGTGTTGTCAAAGATTGTGTGATGTCAAAGAGTGTGTGATGTCAAAGATTGTGTGATGTCAAAGATTGTGTGATGTCAAAGATTTTTTGGTCAAAGATTGTGTGTTGTCAAAGATTGTGTTATCAAAGATTGTATGATGTTAAAGATTGTGTGATGTCAAAGATTGTATGATGTTAAAGATTGCGTGTTGTCAAAGATTGTGTGATGTCAAAGGTTGTGTTGTCAAAGATTGTGTGATGTCAAATATTGTGTGATGTCAAAGGTTGTGTTGTCAAAGATTGTGTGTCATCAAAGACTGTGTGATGTCAAAGATTGTGTGATGTCAAAGATTTTTTGGTCAAAGATTGTGTGTTGTCAAAGATTGTGTTATCAAAGATTGTATGATGTTAAAGATTGTGTGTTGTCAAAGATTGTGTGATGTCAAAGATTGTGTGTCATCAAAGACTGTGTGATGTCAAATATTGTGTGATGTCAAAGATCGTGTGTCATCAAAGATTGTGTTATCAAAGATTGTGTGGTGTTAAAGATTGTGTGGTGTTAAAGATTGTGTTATCAAAGATTGTATCATGTCAAAGATTGTGTTATCAAAGATTGTGTGCCATCAAAGACTGTGTGATGTCAAAGATTGTGTGTAGCCTCACCTCAGCCTGCACATCAGCAGCGCTGGCCTCATCACACATATCCTGCTGCTCCGTGTCAAACTTGTCAACCAGAGCTGAGATCAGACGGCACCTGCTGGAGCCACACGGGCAGGGTACGGGGTGGTCGGTGGAGGAGATGGAGTCAGCGTCACTGTCCTCCTCCTCCACCAGCTCCACCGTGATGTTGTAGTGACGCTTGTTGCTGGCATCCTGCGACATGGTGACATGACACCCCAGTGAGACACCACCTTCAACAAAGATGGTCTGCGGCAGGAAAATGATAGTCTGCTTCCAGTGGGTGGGAGGGTCCAGTGGCCCAGTCCTCAGTCTTGTGGGAGGATTTAGGGAGCTCTGCTTTGCTTGGGTGTGTGACATGTCTGAAGGGTCTGGTGTCAAGCCCTGGGTACACGGTGTGTGTACAGCTTCACCTGAACACGCATCACCCATCTCATTGACACAAGACTTTGGTAGGACCTTAGGACCTGACATGTCCTCCATCTGGCCGTCAACTGTCCCCCCAACAACAAAGTCCACATCAAACCAAGCGGCAAAGCCAAAGATCTTGGAATCATGTTTCAGGGGGAACTGCAGCAATTTGCTGAACTCCGCAACATCCTGCAGGGTCACTGTCTGCAGGTTCAAGGCCAGGACCTCCTGGGGGTCAGCCCTGAGCACGCTGGGACTGAGGCACTGAACCAGGGGTTTGGAGACCTCGTCCATGTTGATCCTGGAGGCCACGGGGGAGAAGTCGAAACCGTAGATGTTGCTCCACTCCTCAGCCCTCTCCTGGAAGTGCTCACTTAGGTCAACAGGGGCAAAGTACAGCGTGGCATGGGAGGGGGCCAGAATACCCCCAGGAGCCAGGAACCGGTCTCTGGCCACGATGACAGAGTCAAGCATGGACTCGTGGAGTAAATAAAAGCCCATCCACTCCGATACGATAATGTCAACATGTGTGAAACCCTGGGGCAGGGAAATCTCCTCAACGGCGCCGTGGATGACCTCTATGACATCAGCCAGCGAGTTCTCGCTCACCACCTCCTCACACAAGCTTGCTACACCACTCGCCTCCACAGCAAAAACTTTCTTGGCGCCGGCTGAAAATGAGGAATATTTTGCTGAGCCCGAGAGAAACGCTATGTTAAAATATAAGTGTAAAGAACTCAGTCATTAGCTGAGATGGCTAAACAATACTAAAACTTTCAAATTTGGAGCTAGAGATCATTTAGCTCTAATGGGCTGTCTAGCCACAAGTCATGTAGCCCTAATGGGGAAGGCCAACCATCACCAGAATGACCTGAGATAGCTACAGTGGTAGACAAGAAAAGTCTATTTGCTAGTCAGTCGAGACACGATTTTAAACCACAGAAAACAGAGGGAAAATGAATTTACTCTGTTTAAATCAGTGACTGCATCACTTTTTATTGGCTACATTGTACTATGGCAAATACAGTACATGAGGTGTGTTCTGTTTATTTCTAAAACACCAAATTTTATCCCCAAGACTCCCCCCCCCCCCCCCCCCCACTCCTGTGAGGACTTAGTTCCCCTGCAACAATCACGCTCTATTTGCAATCCAATTTACAGGCCAGCACTTGAGATAGATTTACATAGAGATTGTATCATCTCAATATGGGATCATGTAAATGTAGATCAGCTGACAATGAACTCAGCCAACACATCATAGCCTTGTGCCAGAGACAAATCTTGTAACCAATAAACTTGGGAAGAAATCTCAAGTCTTTTTTATTATAATACCCAGGGACAACTGTACAAGTCTTGTGTACACAATCTTAAAGTAACATAGTCAAATGCCAGAGCACAAATACAGCGCTAGTCCTATCCCACCCAGTGTACACATACAACACTTGACACTATCCAGTGTACACATACAACACTTGACCACCTCATGTGTACACATACAACACTTGACCCCACCCAGTGTACACATACAACACTTGACCCCACCCAGTGTACACATACAACACTTGACCACCTCATGTGTACACATACAACACTTGACACTATCCAGTGTACACATACAACACTTGACCTCACCCAGTGTACACATACAACACTTGACCTCACCCAGTGTACACATACAACACTTGACCACCTCATGTGTACACATACAACACTTGACCCCACCCAGTGTACACATACAACACTTGACCCCACCCAGTGTACACATACAACACTTGACCTCACCCAGTGTACACATACAACACTTGACCACCTCATGTGTACACATACAACACTTGACACTATCCAGTGTACACATACAACACTTGACCTCACCCAGTGTACACATACAACACTTGACCTCACCCAGTGTACACATACAACACTTGACCACCTCATGTGTACACATACAACACTTGACCCCACCCAGTGTACACATACAACACTTGACCCCACCCAGTGTACACATACAACACTTGACCTCACCCAGTGTACACATACAACACTTGACCCCACCCAGTGTACACATACAACACTTGACCTCACCCAGTGTACACATACAACACTTGACCCCACCCAGTGTACACATACAACACTTGACCACCTAGTGTGTACACATACAACACTTGACCTCACCCAATGTACACATACAACACTTGACCATCTCATGTGTACACATACAACACTTGACACTATCCAGTGTACACATACAACACTTGACCACCACATGTGTACACATACAACACTTGACCCCCCAGTGTGTACGACAAAAAATTATTACATTTCTAAAAATAAACATCACAACACAACATTATGGGAAAATGACGGAAGCTTTAATCAAAAGATATACTAAAGAAAAAAAAATGGCACAGCAAAAGATGACACTAATCAAACAACTAGCGAGATGCATGCATTTGAATTAGTTGGGCCAGAGAAAGCTATACAACTGACATAAAAGAGAGCCTTTAAACATACACAATTGATGCATTACAAAATAAGAAAGAGAGGTAGCATACAGATTGATCTTCAAATGAAAATAACATGCCACACTTACTGTTATTATGGCATAATAAAGACCATATTGACATTTGAATACACACATAGAATAGCCGCTCCAATTTTGAATCAAACAACATATATAAAGCATGTATGGTATGAGCAATCAAAGTGTCCAGCTTGTGTTGTTGACATATGTCACAAGCACATCAATCTTAACATCTAGATGGCATGGCTATGCCAGACAGTGCTTGTTTACTAATGTTATTGACATATGTCACAAGCACATTAAACTTAACATCTAGATGGCATGGCTAAGTGGGAAAGTACATGACTGCTAACCCAAGTTCTGACTCCTGGGCAGAAGAAGCTCATTATCTAAGGACAGTAACCCATGTAGGGGAGGTAATAACAACTGCTGCCTAGCAGTCAATTAGCCATTTGGAGAATAAAATGTTGACACATAATACTCAATTAATTAAGTTAATTAAGCTGGAGGAAATGCCCTCTAATATTATAACTAAAAAACACCAGAAGAGAGAAGCTACTTCTAACATCATTATTTAGACTGTACACTCACCCGACATTTTCAACAACAAGCACACCAAACATATTGATCCTAACACATTTAGTCAACATTACCTAAACACAACTAGAGCAGTGGAGTAAACGGGGGATGATGGGACAGCGTGGCCTAAGCTGTAGAGTGCTAGGCTGCTAACCCTAAAGTCTTGTGTTCGAATCCAGGTCCAAGTCAGTAAAATGTCCCTGAGTCCACCCAGCTCCAAAGGGTACCTAACTTATGTTAGGGAAAGTAAAGGGGGTTGGGCTAATTGCTGACCACACCTTCCCTATTTATAAGAAACATGAATTCTGCTTCATCAGCTTAATGGATCGTTAGGTCTAAAGACCTTAAACTGGAGATGAGAATATGTAAATGCTAAAATAAGACAAAGACTTGGTGCAACAAAGCTTAAAATGCCTATTAAAGCCAGTAACCAATGGATCCAGAAACCAGACAAGCTATTCTGGGGATGAGGGAAAGAGACGACTGCGACAAGACAACCACAGGTGGGTACAACACCTCCACTCACCTGCTGCGGCAAACAGCGACAGAATGCCAGTTCCTGCCCCAACGTCCATAACAACTTTATCCTTGACATACTCTCTGTTCTTCTCAAAAAAGTTCCTGTAGGCCAATGTTCTTGGCCTATCTTTCAACATCAGTTGATGCACCCCTAAATCGCAGTAACTGCTGAAGTAATCATGTCCAGATGTCATCATGCTCACTGTCAACAAAAATAGATTGAATGGTCACATCATTGGGGGGACATCTCAACATAATGAAGTTGGACTGACAGACAGAAGTTGGACTGACAGACAGAAGTTGGACTGACAGACAGAAGATGGACTGACAGACAGAAGTTGGACTGACAGACAGAAGTTGGACTGACAGACAGAAGTTGGACTGACAGACAGAAGTTGGACTAACAGACAGAAGTTGGACTGACAGACAGAAGTTGACCATTTTTTGTTGTTGCTTAAAACAAGGGGAAAGGGGGGCACTGGTTTAAGTATACATTCTCAGGGATGGTGGATGTACCCGGCAGGGGGGGGGGGGATGAGATATTGTTGACAAGTTTTAAACCAAATAACATGTCACCTAAGATTTTAAACTTCATTATAGTTTAAGTTTAAGATGACTTGAACAATTAAAAACTTAATAAATTGACCTTTGATTTGAAACTTATTTCAATTATCACAATAAATCAGTAGCATAGAAAATGCTGTTTGAAAAAAAATTGTTTGTTATTAAATGGCTACAATTTGTGATTTTCTTTAGCTTCAAACGTAAGAGTGGTTGTCATGGAGAGGTGTGTCGTGCATGGCAGTGAGTGACAATAAATATTAAATTAAGTAATTTAGTTTAAAATGAACTAAAAACTTCAAAATTAGTGCCAAATGGATTAAATATGGATGTCTGTCATTCAGTGGTCATGTTTAAATTAAAATTGAGAATGGACTTGAGCGAGAAAGTATTCGAGAGGCCCATTAATTAATTAAATCATGCACAGCATAATTACAATTAATATGGTTAGCCTATAAAATCCTGTCTGTCTGGTTTTATTCCGACTTTTGTTTTTAATATTTTCGGTAACTAAAAAAAAAAAAAAAAAGCAAAAACAATTTTGTTTTCATTTGTAATGGCGACATAAACAATGGCATCCTGCTATTCGATAGGCTGCCATAAATTTTATTGTACACATTGTAAGCTAAAAAAAGAAAAACTAGCTCATGGGGTTTAAATTTGCATTGTTATTTAAAAACTTTATCTGCAAAGTTTTGTAAACAAATAATTATCAATCACTGAGTTCCTGTACTGCCAATCAATATGTGTCTTACGTAAGTGAAACATCCAGTTATAACTTAGGCTTGATGAAAATAAATAGAAATGTAGCCTTAAATTTTAAATTCGACAAATTATTTTTTAAGTTCTCTGGATATGCTACTTTTAAAGCATTTAGGGGCCTATTCTAAAAATATAAAAATTCTAAATTAATTGCAGGCTTAAATTTGCATTTTTTATTATTTTTACGGTCTAAATCTAAAAAGCACATTTTTTAAAACTTATTCCAAGTCAACAACATGATGGAAGGATTCTCATCAACTCACTCGCCTCCATTGGGTAAATGGTAAAACCTTAGTTTAGCGTCGGTTATTATTACGGAATCGTATAGCAGTAAAAAACAGTAAAATAATGGCAAAGTCTGTCACACAGTTCCAGTATCCACCGAAGTACTGTAAACCATACTTTATTTGGCGTCATCTTTTATTTTTAATACAGAACGTTTAAAATTTGGATAGATTTATTTTAATTGCGTGTTAAATACTGCTTTATTACTCATTTTGTATAACTTGTTATTTTTAAGTGTTTCAGCTAAATATTTCTGCTACTAAACATTGTTTAACAGGGTTCGTGCGCAGTCTGGAAAAAGTCTTGAATTTAAAAAGTCTGGACGGGTCTACACTGTGGTATGACGTTTTTCGCTGGGTATCGCAGATGAAACCTGATTTCTCAGTTACTACGTCATTGGGGGAGGGGGGAAGAGTGTAAGACCTGTCTTTTTTTTTGTTGTTGCTTGACTGACCGTGAAAACGTTTAGGGCTGGACTAACCCGCCCCTCCTAGTAACTAAGGTCACTGATATCTAAACTTGTATGAACACCGTGACCCCAAGTACGTAGATTGAGCTGTTTGGCTAGGTGAGGGAGGAGGGGAAATAAAAGTTACGGTACTGTTCATGATATGACGTATTAGACTGGGCTACAGTGACCCCTCCACCGTCTCTTGTTGTGTGTGTGTGTGTGTGGGGGGGGGGGGGGGAAGAGAGAGACCGGTATTTTTTAATAGCAGACAAAAGTTTCTCAGCTATAAGCACAAATAATGGTGTGGTTACAAAGGTCTTGTTTCATTTTCAAAATAGTGTACGAACTCTGTTTCTAGTCACTTTTACTCTTTTTGTAATCATTTTTTACATTTTTGTAATAATTTTTACTATTTTCGTAATCTAGATTTTTTTTACTTGGCCTAGCGCTAGCTAGATCTAGATCTAATTAATTAATGGTCGCAAATCCGCTGCAAGCCAAAAACATTAAATTATTACATTTGACTTCATTATTTATATTTATATTAATATATGTGTTTTTTTTTAATTTTTAGATCTACTAATTTAAATCTAATATTATATTTATTCTTGTTTCCTTTTGTCGATTAAACTTTAAAAATTAAAACATTAATTTACTACAATTGACTTTCAATTTATTTATGTCAAATAAACCATGGTTTACCGTAACTCTAGTTACCGAAACTCAACAAACAGTACCCGATAATTTCCGACGCTAAACTAAGGTTTTACCGGGTAAATTTTAGATTTTATAAGAAAATCTACAATATTATATATTAGCGAGACTCAGACTCACTAACTTGAAAGCGTACTTGGTTGCTAACGAGAACATGGCTACCTCACCTTAGCCTACGATTGGGCAATTTTTTCTGCTATGTTCGAGAGACCACCTTAACATTAAGTTTAAAAATAATTATCACGCGAAATTTGCTTCCGACCATGGAGGTCAAACGTAAACATGGGTATAGTTTGTGTTGTTTAAAAACTTTAAATAAAGGACTGTTAGGTGTCTAAATGGCACTGTAAGGTAGGGTATTATTAGATTAATCGTTTAGTGAAAAAAAAATGCAATTATTATGTGCCGATTTTAAGAAATCGGCCTCCTAAAAAGGTCACTGAAAGCACGTGATTTTTTATTGTGACGTCATCGCTATTGTTACGGAAGCTGTACAGTAGTATCCTCGCTGCTTATATAATTGTGTTCTCTTTTCACTTGACACTCTTTTTCAGCTTATTTTGCTAGCGCAATTAGACTAATTAAGCCTAATTATGGATATTTCACCTGGCTTTTGGATTATACTATGACTCTAAAAGCCCTTAAACCACGACGATCTGTTGTTTTTTTTTGTTGATCACTGGAATTAGATCTAGTAGTGAGCGTTGGTCTTTGTGTGCTTATTTAGGTCTAATTATTTGTTTTCAAATTTGTTAGGCCCCTATAGCTTAATTAATTTGTCTTAATTCTTATTGATTTCATAAATTTTAATTAGGCTAATTATAATATTATTTTCACTGGTCTTCGTTGATACATTTATTAGGCTTAATAATGTTAATATTATTACGATTTTAGAGGCCTGATAAATTAAATAATTTTAGCGTTGGGTCTAAGTTTACATTACTAATTATTACTTAGTAAACCAAGTACGCATGGACTAGGACATGTGTGTGCTGTGCCCACGCTGTGGCGGGCGATGCCTCTCTCGCTGACAAACCAGCGCGAGCGAGCGAGTCGTGTGTCACACTTGGTCTGTGTCGATGTTTGGAATGCATAGGCATAGGCCTAATTCTCGCTCTCGGGTAATCAATTTTTATGCGCTGACATTTGAAAAATCAAATAGACACACATCTTAATTAAATACATTTAATGTGAACTGTATATTAATCTAGACCTACAATACTAATTATAACTTGAGAAAACAAAGTACTTGGACTAGATTTAGCGCATGCTCACACTGTGCTGTGGGTTTTCTCTCGCTGGTTGACAAAAGAACGCAGGCGGGCTGGCGATGTTTGTAATTTGCATATATCTTCGCGCACGTGCGATCATTTTAATGCGATTGGCCTCTTTTTATTTTATAGGCCTGATTAATTGTATTTGATAGGCTAACTTTTCTGGTTGACAAAACTACGCGAGCGAGATGTCCGCCACGCACACTGCCCGTGACGCTGTTTAGAATGCATTTCTCGCTAACTTTATCAATTTTAATGCTATTGCAGATTTAAAAAAAAATAAATCAAATACTTACAAATCTTAACAATATTTTAAACTGAGCATCGGCGAAACTTTGTGAATAACACACCTTTCCCAAGTCCAGTGAGAGAGGAGAGTTAGATTCATTTTACAATGACATCGCTAGAATTTTATAAATTGCCCTGATTAAGCATTGCTAAAACACTAACACTAGTTAATGAAACATGCATGGGCATGGGATAGAATATCTTTAAAAAGTTTAGATCTATTCTATATTCTTAAACATATTTTATTGACGCATATTTGTCATCAAAATCATTAATCTGGGTTTAGTTTTCCTTTTTAAACATCCTTCCATTAAAAAAAAAGGAAATCAAATATTACAAAAAAAAAATATAGATCTAGATCTAGATGTAATTCCATCTTGTGATTTTTATTCTGACAAAGACAGTGTCCATACGAATAGAAATGTGGTAATAAAATCAAATGTACTGTGCATATTCTGCTAAAATCAAATCAGCTGCAAGGTCAACCCTGCAGAGTTCTTCTCTTCAGATAGGCATATGGTTGTCACGGATTTTTTGGCTTGCAATGCTGGGAGTGGCCAATTAATAAAAATCAGTAGGCCTAATTAAGCTCCAAATGAGTTTATAGTTTATTATCAACAAATTAAGTATTTGATTGATTAGAGATTGATCTCTAATCTCTAGTTTAAGTTTTCATTGGTAATGTTTAAATCGAAAAATAACGAAATTTAAAATTAGTGAGTATCGCTATTATATATGTTCGCTCTGATGTAGGCCTTAAGCTACTCAACTAACTTAAGATCTAGTCTAGCTTCTAGCACTAGATCTCTAGTTCAAGATAAGATATCTAATAAAAATTATTTTTGCTTCTTTAACAAAACTTAAACTTTCCTAACGAAACAATGGACTGTTTCAACTGTTTGTGTTTCGATGACTGTTTCGGGAACCTATTTGTAGCTAGTCTCATAACGCGAGTTGAATTACCTCCCCTGACCCGCTTTTTTATGGCCACTTTCTAGTTCGTTTTTTTCGATCGCGTCTCGGCACTGTTGCTAAAAATAGCATTCGCGCAATACCATACGGATAAATCTGTTTGGCGTCTGCACCACGTGATAGATCGTTGAATGGCCGACAAGCTGATATAAAAATTATTGCGACCGGATGCGATTTTCGTGGAAATTGAGCTAGATTTAGCAAAAGACAGCTATATTTGTGTAAAATTTTATTATTTATACTTCTACTTACACAGATATTTTGATAACTGCAGTTCAGCCGTCCATTTTTCTTTTAAAATGTATCTTTAGAATTTCTGTACCTTTTGGCAATCGGTCAGGAGCATTTGCGCACTAAACCCACCCCCCTACGGCAGATCCGATTTTTTTCACAGTGAACTCGTACTGACCTCCCACATAGCTAAGATAGTACATTGATACTGATGGGAAAGCCTCTAAATCTGTATTCCTACTAGAGATCTAGAAATAAATCTAGATCGTGGAGTTTTTATAATGACTTTTAAATTGAATGTCTCCAGTTTAAGATATTTTTTTTTCAAAACATAGCTACTTTTAGTACTATATTCAAGTATTTCAAACCCTTTTGGTAGTTTTTTCTTAAACTTAGACCTAGATCTAGTGATTAGATATCTATATTTTGTACTTATAACTTGCAGGCCTATTAAAATAATAATAAAACAGTTTGCTTGATAACTTCATTAGGTCATTTCATAAACACAAATGTTATAAACATATAAAAATCACAAAACCATAGGTAATATCTGAATTATGTAGCCTACCTTACATTTAGGCTAATACTGAATTAAAAAGAAATTACATTAAGGTTTGAAATTAATACAACTTGTAATTAAGAAAGAAAGCTTCAATTCTAAATACTACAAGATATAATAACAAACAATGAAACAAATTCAAAGCTTTTTTCAACCCATTTAGTCGAAAAGATTTTTATTTTTTCCGATATTGACCAAAAAAAGTTTTTAAAGCTTAGGCCTACTGTTTTTACAAACATAACTCAATTCTGTTAGGCCCCTGTAAACATTAATTAAGATTCCTCTGTAGACAAAGCAATCTATTTGGCAGATGAAGTAGAGTTCATGTTTCTTGACCTCGGCATATGAAGTGATTGTCCGTGTGGTCAGCGATATTCACAGCCGCCTTTACTTTTTACCTTTAATTTCCCCAATGTATATCAGGTACCCATCAGAAATGGGTGGACTCTAATTGAATTTTATTAAACAAACATTTTGATATAGGCTTAGATCTATAATCTATAACATTCCAAACAACATCTGTTCTGTAGAATTTACCTTTCTGCTTCCAAATGCGGTATTTTCCAATTGAAAATTCATCACAAAACATACAATAAATTATATAAATGGCATTTTATAAATTTATATAAACTATTTACTTTCACCTTGGTGTAACAAAATGTAGGTATAAGCAAACTGATTTCAATAGTAAGAAAGAATCATGTCTTTTCTTGCTTACTAGCTTTAAAACAAGTGAATTTGACTTTTTACCTGCGTTTTTGGTCGCGTTTCTATATATTTTATTTGCGACACTAAAAAAATTATATTTAATCAACCGATTATGCTAAATTAATAAAATTGGTACTGTTGGATTGCATTTTTAAAGCTCTACAATTATATTAGGTTGTCTTATTACAATTTTTTAATTAAAATTTTCTGTCACTTATCATATATCATTACAAACCATATCACTTACTGGTTAATTTGAGACCAAATTTAATGGTCTAGCTTAATTAGGGGCCGAGAAAACAAACAAAAACAAAATGACCTATTAACATCTTAAAATGCGAAACTCTTTTTCGCCATCAAAAGATATCCAAAAGTTACGTTGGTTTGTGTTTTCCATTCGTAGCATGATGTCATAGCAATTACGACAACATTGGGTATTTTAGTTACCAAAAAAAACCAAAACATTTTGTTAGAAATAAAACTTTATATTCACTATGTTTATTAAGGAAATATCAGACATATTTATTATAAATTCTATGTACAATGTACAATTTAAGACATTAGGCATTCCATGATGAATTGAACAATCAATACCCATGAAGATGACAATAAAATTAATATCCAAAACTAAAAATAGATCTGACAGAAATCTAGATCTAGTCCTTCTAACTGTAACGACAATACAGTATTATTAGGTAAGATAATAAATGAACTTTTTTTTAACTTTAAAATTAAATACTCTATAAAAGTATAATTAATATTCTCTTCTGTAGTAGCATTAGGTTAGGCGAAGTTTTCTTTTTTTTTTTTTTTTACCAGCTATGCGTAGTAAATCTACAGTCCTGTAAGCTTGCGTGAACTTAAAATGACCCTAAGTTGATTTACAATTTGCTTGGTTTATGAGGGGAGGGATGGGATTGCCCACCGACGATCTCTAACAGCAATAGTTAATGCTGTGACGTATGTATGGTAGGCCTGCTGAACTCACGGTGAACCCTCGACCGTGTCAACATTTTTCTCCCGCAGACAAGAAAATGTAAGCAGTCGATCTCGCGAGCGATGCGAGCGACGATGTTTTGAAAATTTTGAATAATTATTTTATAAAATATTTCGTTCAAAAAAATTTTTTTTGAAAAAGAAAGAAAATAAAACCGCTCGTGGCATTTCCCATGTGAAACAATAAAATAAAGCACAACTGATTTACGTCGGATTCGAACTCGGAGATTCTAGGTCACCTACCGCACCGTTCTGTTTACTCTGCCACACACCACGATGTATTGGAAAATAAAATATTAGACATTTTGTATCAAAAGATTGCTAAAACTAAAAGGAAATAATTACTACTTCATTTATTGATATCATTCTACGTAGTAACTGAGTAACTGCGTAAATTTTACACACAATTCCTATATTTTTAACTAACACAACAGCATTAACGAGGTTGACCAAGTCTAAAAAAAAAAAAATTGCCAGTAGGCCTAATTAGATTTAGCACAAAAATGCTCGGAATGAGCATTGTTTAAAATACAATACTATGGCCTAATTAAAAACTACATATAATTTCATATAAATTATACAGTCGGGTAGGCCTCGAAGTATTAATATTAACAAGGTTAATGACCGGTCACGAATTATGTTCAATGAAACTAACAGTGCAGTCGGCCTACTTGGCTTGCAGTGAAGAAAAAAAATCAATATACTTATAAAATTACTAATACTTTAATACAATAATAATGCCCACAATTTCTGCACATGCTAAAACTGAATTATAATTAAAATACTAGACTTAACAGTGCATTCCGCAAAAAACAAAAATTAGTTGTTTCTATCTGACAACTAGCGTAACAATGGCGTAACGTTGCTAAAAATAGCAGCGGCATGGTATTTCTATGGGGAATTGGATTTTGGAAGAAGGGAAGCAGCATCATTGTAATTAATCATGGTAAATATCTCAAATATATATTTATCTAGGAGCTGTCGAGCGCTGATGCCCGGTGGTCGGTCGTTTTTCGTTGCAGTTCAGTTCCTAATGAGAGTGCTCCATAAGAAATGCTTGTATTAATTATTACTACATATCTCGCAAATGTTTCTGGCATTTAAGCCATAGTATCCATTTCCTTAGCATTTCGCATTAAAATAGTGATGAGATATTGCTAGATTAGCAGTTTTTTCATTTTTTGTATATAGGACCCCCCAAAAACACTTAAAATGCGAAAACTAAAAGAGCATGACGTTTCAGGGTCAGGTTCTGACTTCCGGTTTTGGTAAGGAGATCGACTAAATTATATGCTATTCTTTTTATAATTTGAAGAAAATTGAATTTTTATGAGACTAACTACTATTTGCTAAAATGCAAATAACCAAAATCTTATTATTCTGACTCACGTTTTATACATAGAATCCAGATCGAAAAAGTTTATTTTAATTGATAGTAGACTAAGTAGATCTAGAAATCTAAATCTAGTAATAAGTATTAAGTAGCAGATAATTCCACTAGGCATAAGCCATCAAATTTGATACATGACATGCTTTTTATGAGACGTACCAGTCTCTAGCAGTATAGAAGTAATATTATGCCAGTTGGGCTATAATCAAGCATGAACCCGTAGGAAAAGCCATACACAAAATTTAATTTTATTAAATGAATTAAAGGTCACATATTTAAAATAATCTACATTTAATGCTTAGATGCATTCTCTAAAAGCGAAATTCTTGTACTAGATAAAAGCATGGTATTCTCTAAATTACTAGATCTATTTCTTTACAAATTATCAGATGTATGTTAATGGTAACAATAACGATCAGAGTTTCTTTCAGGCATCTTTTCGAAGAAAGTCTACCGCACCCCCGAACGAAATACAATGTATACTTTTAAAAGTGTCCGGCCCTTCCCCCCCCCCCCTCCGAAAATTTTAGTCCGACCCCCCCCCCCCCCCCGAAAATGTAAATTTTCAATAGACATATATATATATATATATATATATATATATATATATATATATATATATATATATATATATATATATATATATGTTTTAAATATTAAAGAGAAACGTTGCTAGTTTTATTGTATAAAAAAGATTCATGATTCAGTTCATGTGTCTATTTTTAAATCGGTAATTCCCAAAGACACTGTTGGGCGCGCACCTTTTGCGCCGGCTTAGCAACATCGGTAGTCAGTTGGAAATCTCTGAAGGGCATGGCGGCGCTGAATAAGAAAGCTCACTAAAATCGTCCTCTCTTTTTAATAGTGGTTCTTCTCTCGTGTGGCCCTTCTCTCGTGTGGCCCTTCTCTCGTGTGGCCCAACTGTGAGCTATTCAGCGCGTCCTTCAGCTGCCACCAGTACAGCAAGACGAAGGTAAGTTGTGTAGTTAACAGAGAGATACAAAGTATTGTCACTAATCTCTGTAGATCTAGTATGGTCAATGAAAAGACACTTAAAAGCAGTGGCGTAGCGAGGTCGGGTGTCACCCGGTGCGGCACTTAATGGTGTCACCCCATGAGGCGTAGCGACCCTTCCCGGGGACAAACTTTCAAATTTTCGATTTGCACCCCCCCCTCAAACTTTCGATTTGCAACCCCCCCCCCCTCAAGTTTTCGATTTGCACCCCCCTCAAACTTTCGATTTGCACCCCCCTCAAGTTTTTCCTTATATATTTTGCTATTTTTTGCCTTGGTGTCACCCCCCTAAATGGTGTCACCCGGTGCGGTCCCCCACACCCCCCCCCCTCGCTACGCCCCTGCTTAAAAGATCGTTACAAATGGCTTAAGTAACCGAAGCTTGCTTGTCTAATTCAAGAAATTTGACAACATACATCTTTTATCAGACGGAATTTAAGGCTTCAATTAAGGCAGGTGATTTCTAGTTTAGCCAACATGTATTGTGTTAGATCTAGATCTGTGTAGTGTAAGTGTATGGGGTGGTGCTAGGCAGAGATCATATAACACATGTTGCAATCTATTCTTAGATTTTGTTTGCGTTCTAATTTCCGAATGGCTCCAATGAGTTAGTCACATCTGGCTTAGTCTAAATCTGGCTAACATGTAGATCATTTTATAAGCTTGCATTTTAAAATTGGTTTTTATAAAATACGAAATTAATTAATACGTTTCCACGAACTTCTTTAACGATTTTATAGTAATTGTACACTAAACAATGGTGTCGGGTGTTAGTATATGGGAGGGGGGGGGGGGGCAACAATGTTGTATACAATTTCAGGGTTGGTGTTCTATAGAAATTTGATGTCATGTTCTATGGACATTTGATGTCATGTTCTAAAGATTAAGAAAGTGTGTGAACAATTTCCGTAAATTGTCGAATGATTTGTGCAAGATCCATTTGGTCCTAGAAAATTATTTTAATGATTGCAGACATTCTGAATGCTCTCTATAGCCTATAGGACTCACAGAAAACGTGAGAGTTCTAGCAATCAGATAACATGGAACATCAGACCTTCATTAGACACACCAAGACACAGTGTCTGACACACCAAGACACAGTGTCTGACACACCAAGACACAGTGTCTGACACACCAAGACACAGTGTCTGACACACCAAGACACAGTGTCTGACACACCAAGACACAGTGTCTGACACACCAAGACACAATGTCTGACACACCAAGACACAGTGTCTGACACACCAAGACACAGTGTCTGACACACCAAGACACATTGTCTGACACATTCGATACGTTAAACACACCCAACATTAAGCACGGCATATACTTGCACTAACTAGAACATCGCAGGCAGTCTTATATAACATTGTTCTATTCCTCTCCAGCGTAATATATCAGAACACAATAATTAGCCACTCTCAACCCCTTCGTGTTATAGGCCTATATTATGTGCGGGACCTTAAGGTTCAACTTCAACCTTTAACCTTAAAAGTGACGTCACATATTGGTTTCGCTATGTTGATTTACGTGTCTGCCTAGATTGTAGACAGAGCTGTCACGTGATTTTGTTAGGTTTTCGCTGACCCATTGAGTCCGTGTAAATAAACAAACAAACAAACAAACAAACAAACACCGGCACAGTGTACAGAGCGTCCCGTGCAGCACAGTAACTCAAACCACGACAGACACACACATGAGGATACTAGATCTAGAACGGTGTTCTAGGGTGTTCTTGGCTGTTCTTGGATGTTCTAGGTTGTTCTATGAGTCTCATAGAATTTATAAACATACAAACATAAGGCATTGTTCAAAAGGTGCTGAAGACATATTTATGAAGTGTTTTTATCAAAAGTGTATATAACAATGTTAAAACCTAACAATGTTAAAATGATCTCATTTTGGGTATTCAGCGAGAGGTAAAGGGGCATCGTTTACCTCATTTGTCTATTCGGATTGAAATGGTAATACATTTTGCGTATATTTTAATTTTTACCCCGGTTGTTAATTATTTTTTTTTTCATTGATTAAATAATTACAATAATATAGACTTAATGACGTGTGGTTGTCTACACTTAATGACGTGTGGTTGTCCACACTTAATGACGTGTGGTTGTCTACACTTAATGACGTGTGGTTGTCTACATTTAATGACGTGGGGTTGTGTATAGTGAAGTGTGGTTGTCTACACTTAATGACGTGTGGTTGTCTACACTTAATGACGTGTGGTTGTCTACACTTAATGACGTGTGGTTGTCTACATTTAATGACGTGGGGTTGTGTATAATGAAGTGTGGTTGTCTACACTTAATGACGTGTGGTTATCTGCACTTAATGACGTGTGGTTGTCTACATTTAATGACGTGGGGTTGTGTATAATGAAGTGTGGTTGTCTACACTTAATGACGTGTGGTTGTCTACACTTAATGACGTGTGGTTGTCTACACTTAATGACGTGTGGTTGTCTACATTTAATGACGTGGGGTTGTGTATAATGAAGTGTGGTTGTCTACACTTAATGACGTGTGGTTATCTGCACTTAATGACGTGTGGTTGTCTACATTTAATGACGTGGGGTTGTGTATAATGAAGTGTGGTTGTCTACACTTAATGACGTGTGGTTGTCTACATTTAATGACGTCACTTAATGACATGTGGTTGTCAACACTTAATGACGTGTGGTTGTCTACATTTAATGACGTCACTTAATGACATGTGGTTGTCAACACTTAATGACGTGTGGTTGTCTACACTTAATGACGTCACTTAATGACGAGTGGTTGTCTACACTTAATGACGAGTGGTTGTCTACACTTAATGACGTGTGGTTGTCTACACTTAATGACGTTTAGTTGTCTACACTTAATGACGTGTGGTTGTCTTTACTTAATGACGTTTAGTTGTCTACACTTAATGACGTGTGTGTTTCAGAAGAAACAGATTAAAAATGAGAGGACTAACTTAATGACGTCTGGTTGTGTTTCAGAAGAAACAGATTAAAAATGAGAGGACTAACTAAAGTTTCACTTTTCCTGATAGCCTTGATCTTTATATCCCCAACATGCGCCAGTGAGTATTTCACATTCACCCCCCCCCCCCCCCCACTTTGTCTAAGTTTATCTCAGTTTTTCTCTCTTTATCTCATATATCCCACTTTATCCACCTTTATATCCTTAATCTCACATTATCTCACTTCTACTTCACCTCGCTACACGTACATTATGTCTTGAAGAGCGATCATATGCAACACAGTCTGGTGAGTGTCTATGTGCATCATACATTAGGCATGCTCTGTGTTAATCATACATATAACATTAGGCATGCATTTTTAAAGCAGGTTTAAACGACCATTTCACCTATTTTTAACGCAGGTTTAAACGACCATTTCACCTATTTTTAACGCAGGTTTAAACGACCATTTCACCTATTTTAACGCAGGTTTAAACGACCATTTCAACTATTTTTAACGCAGGTTTAAACGACCATTTCACCTATTTTTAACGCAGGTTTAAACGGCCATTTCACCTATTTTTAACGCAGGTTTAAACGACCATTTTACCTATTTTTAACGCAGGTTTAAACGACCATTTCACCTATTTTTAACGCAGGTTTAAACGACCATTTCACCTATTTTAACGCAGGTTTATACAACCATTTCACCTATTTTTAACGCATATTTAAACGACCATTTCACCTATTTTTAACGCAGGTTTAAACGACCATTTCACCTATTTTTAACGCAGGTTTAAACGACCATTTCACCTATTTTTAACGCAGGTTTAAACGACCATTTCACCTATTTTTAACGCAGGTTTAAACGACCATTTCACCTATTTTTAACGCAGGTTTAAACGACTATTTCACCTATTTTAACGCAGGTTTAAACGACCATTTCACTTATTTTTAACGCAGGTTTAAACGACCATTTCACCTATTTTTAACGCAGGTTTAAACGACTACTTCACCTACTCCGGCCCACAGATGATCGCCAAAGCTTGCAATGACAAAGTTTGTAAAACGCCGGACCTTGAGAGCCCGGGATTCTGCACGTGAGTACATCAGGATGTGTGCACGTGTGTACATAGGTGTCAAGGTCGTAGCTAGGGTTGGGGGCGAGATATGACCCACGCAAGAGAGTAAGGCATCACCATGTTGTTAGCTAGGGTAGGGGGCGGGGGGGGGGGGGTACGACCCAGACAAGAGAGTAAGGCAGCACCGTGTCCTTAGCTAGGGTTGGGGGCGGGGGGGGTACGACCCAGACAAGAGAGTAAGGCATCACCATGTTGTTAGCTAGGGTTGGGGGCGGGGGGGGGGGGTACGACCCAGACAAGAGAGTAAGGCAGCACCATGTTGTTAGCTAGGGTTGGGGGCGGGGGGGTACGACCCAGACAAGAGAGTAAGGCAGCACCGTGTCCTTAGCTAGGGTTGGGGGCGGGGGGGGGGTACGACCCAGACAAGAGAGTAAGGCATCACTATGTCCTTGGCTAGGGTTGGGGGCGGGGGGGTACGACCCAGACAAGAGAGTAAGGCAGCACCGTGTCCTTAGCTAGGGTTGGGGGCGGGGGGGGGGTACGACCCAGACAAGAGAGTAAGGCATCACCATGTCCTTAGCTAGGGTTGGGTAGAGACGTGTATTCCAGCCGATAAGAAGCAGATGAAATAAATTGTTTAATGAATTGTCTACTGAATGCATGCCAGTGAAGCCTCACTATACCTGACGTGTTTGGATGAGCACATCTTGAACAACCAGGACTGTAGTACAGGAACTCAGGAGTCTGCTCGCGCTCGCTCGTTTTTCATCAACCTCATGCTCAGGATCAAGTTTTGCCAAGGTCAGGGTCACGGTCAAACTTTGTACAGGTCATGGTGTCAAGGTCATTTGTGTTCAGTGGGTTTTACGTGAGGGGTTCAGTGGATTTCATGTTAGGGGTTCAGTAGGTTTTCTGTGAGGGGTTCAGTGGGTTTCATGTGTGTGGTTCAGTGGGTTTTATGTGAGGGGTTCAGTTGATTTTATGTGAGGGGTTCAGTTGATTGTGTGTAAGGGGTTCAGTAAACAACGCTTCACTTAACTGGTCAGATGAAATCTTTTCCAACTTTGTGACAGATTTTATGGACGTCAAGAAAATTCTTGATTACTGCCAGCCACCTACTTTGAGCGACTTCGACATTTGCCAGTGAGTTTTCTTGTCACTTCATGTTGATTGGTCGTTACATCTTAGCTCTGCTAGTCTGTTTTATCTTAGCTCTGCTAGTCTGTTTTATCTTAGCTCTGCTGGTCTGTTTTATCTTAGCTCTGCTAGTCTGTTTTATCTTAGCTCTGCTAGTCTGTTTTATCTTAGCTCTGCTGGTCTGTTTTATCTTAGCTCTGCTAGTCTGTTTTATCTTAGCTCTGCTGGTCTGTTTTATCTTAGCTCTGCTGGTCTGTTTCATCTTAGCTCTGCTAGTCTGTTTCATCTTAGCTCTGCTAGTCTGTTTTATCTTAGCTCTGCTGGTCTGTTTTATCTTAGCTCTGCTGGTCTGTTTTATCTTAGCTCTGCTAGTCTGTTTTATCTTAGCTCTGCTGGTCTGTTTTATCTTAGCTCTGCTGGTCTGTTTTATCTTAGCTCTGCTAGTCTGTTTTATCTTAGCTCTGCTGGTCTGTTTTATCTTAGCTCTGCTGGTCTGTTTTATCTTAGCTCTGCTAGTCTGTTTTACCTTAGCTCTCGCTGGTTTATTTTATCTAAGCTCTGCTGGTCTGTTTTATCTTAGCTCTGCTAGTCTGTTTTATCTTAGCTCTGCTGGTCTGTTTTATCTTAGCTCTGCTGGTCTGTTTTACCTTAGCTCTGCTGGTCTGTTTTATCTTAGCTCTGCTGGTCTGTTTTATCTTAGCTCTGCTGGTCTGTTTTATCTTAGCTCTGCTAGTCTGTTTTATCTTAGCTCTGCTAGTCTGTTTTATCTTAGCTCTGCTAGTCTGTTTTATCTTAGCTCTGCTAGTCTGTTTTATCTTAGCTCTGATGGTCTGTTTTATCTTAGCTCTGCTAGTCTGTTTTATCTTAGCTCTGCTAGTCTGTTTTATCTTAGCTCTGCTAGTCTGTTTTATCTTAGCTCTGCTGGTCTGTTTTATCTTAGCTCTGCTGGTCTGTTTTATCTTAGCTCTGCTAGTCTGTTTTATCTTAGCTCTGCTGGTCTGTTTTATCTTAGCTCTGCTAGTCTGTTTTATCTTAGCTCTGCTGGTCTGTTTTATCTTAGCTCTGCTAGTCTGTTTCATCTTAGCTCTTGCTTGTTAGATAATTGCTACCTTTAAACTTTAGGCTACATGCCTTAATTATTTCATTTTGCATTTTCATTAAACACATTATATTAACTACTGTGATGTTTAACTTTTATGATGTTTAACTTTGCAATTTGCAGCAAAACTGAGATGTATGTGAACTGTGTCCAGAGTCTGACGTCATCGCCCGACACCCAGGAATTTGAGCAACAATTTGGAAGAATTCTCGTCTTTCTAGCTGAACGATTGGTGGCGTCACGAAACTGCTCAAACCTCGAGGGTAAGGCGTGTCTGTCATCTGTCACACGTCCATCTACCCGTGTCTGTCACACGTCCATCTACCCGTGTCTGTCACACGTCCATCTACCCGTGTCTGTCATCTGTCACACGTCCATCTACCCGTGTCTGTCATCTGTCACACGTCCATCTACCCGTGTCTGTCATCTGTCACACGTCCATCTACCCGTGTCTGTCATCTGTCACACGTCCATCTACCCGTGTCTGTCATCTGTCACACGTCCATCTACCCGTGTCTGTCATCTGTCACACGTCCATCTACCCGTGTCTGTCATCTGTCACACGTCCATCTACCCGTGTCTGTCACACGTCCATCTACCCGTGTCTGTCACACGTCCATCTACCCGTGTCTGTCATCTGTCACACGTCCATCTACCCGTGTCTGTCATCTGTCACACGTCCATCTACCCGTGTCTGTCATCTGTCACACGTCCATCTACCCGTGTCTGTCACACGTCCATCTACCCGTGTCTGTCATCTGTCACACGTCCATCTACCCGTGTCTGTCATCTGTCACACGTCCATCTACCCGTGTCTGTCACACGTCCATCTACCCGTGTCTGTCATCTGTCACACGTCCATCTACCCGTGTCTGTCATCTGTCACACGTCCATCTACCCGTGTCTGTCACACGTCCATCTACCCGTGTCTGTCACACGTCCATCTACTCGTGTCTGTCACACGTCCATCTACCCGTGTCTGTCATCTGTCACACGTCCATCTATCCGTGTCTGTCATCTGTCACACGTCCATCTACCCGTGTCTGTCACACGTCCATCTACCCGTGTCTGTCATCCGTCACACGTCCATCTACCCGTGTCTGTCATCTGTCACACGTCCATCTACCCGTGTCTGTCATCTGTCACACGTCCATCTACCCGTGTCTGTCACACGTCCATCTACCCGTGTCTGTCACACGTCCATCTACCCGTGTCTGTCATCTGTCACACGTCCATCTACCCGTGTCTGTCACACGTCCATCTACCCGTGTCTGTCATCTGTCACACGTCCATCTACCCGTGTCTGTCATCTGTCATCTGTCACACCTTTCCCCAGGTAATGTCAACTCGACCTGTATGTACAGCACCTGCACCGGCCTGATAGAAAACGACCCCGACGATCAATGCTCGTGAGTTTGATTATTCATGACATAACACATGACATATGACACTAATGACATAACACATGACATATGACACTAATGACATAACACATGACATAACACCCGACATATGACACTAATGACATAACACATGACATATGACACTAATGACATAACACATGACATATGACACTAATGACATAATGTATTTGTGCGATGAAAAATATATATGATGACAGGCTGGCTTTGTATGATGACAGACTGACTTTGTATGATGACAGACTGGCTTGTATGATGACAGACTGGCTTTGTATGATGACAGACTGACTTTGTATGATGACAGACTGGCTTGTATGATGACAGACTGGCTTTGTATGATGACAGACTGACTTTGTATGATGACAGACTGGCTTGTATGATGACAGACTGGCTTTGTATGATGACAGACTGGTTTTGTATGATGACAGAGTGTATGACGATGACCACGCCGTGTTTTGCAGTCTAGCGGATGCGTTCATCAGCTGTCTACAGGAGAACGTTCTGGACAATTTGAGCTGCACGTGGTACGAGCAGGGTACCGCCATCTTGGAAGTTGCTGTCGTCGGCATCTACAAACTGACAAACTGTGGCTAAGGTTAGTGTGTGACGCGTGTGTGTGGCATGTGTGTGTGGCACGTGTGTGTGGCACGTGTGTGTGGCACGTGTGTGTGAGTGGGGGGAGGGGCCGCTAACAAAGACATATTTAGAAATAGGCCAAGCAGATGAAAGCAGGTGGATGTATAAACCAATCGAATTGTCCGACCAATTAAAAACTGTGTGAAGGTCAGCTGCAGTGTTTCTTCCAGGGAGGGGGGGGGGGGGGGGAGGCGGACTAAAATTTCTAATGTAATTTTCTTGTTAAAATACGTTTAAATCTAATGTAATTTTCTTGTTATATACTTTTAAATCTAATGTAATTTTCTTTTTAAAATACCTTTAAATCTACTTTAAATCTACTGATATTTTCTTTTTAAAATACCTTTAAATCTAATGTAATTTTGTTTTTAAAATACATTTAAATCTAATATAATTTTCTTTTTAAAATACCTTTAAATCTAATGTAATTTTGTTTTTAAAATACATTTAAATCTAATGTAATTTTCTTGTTAAAATACCTTTAAATCTAATGTAATTTTCTTTTTAAAATACATTTAAATCTAATGTAATTTTCTTGTTAAAATACCTTTAAATCTCTCACGAACAGAGTTCACTTTGGTTCAGTGAAGGACACAACTCTAGAATCTAAAGCTCTCCCCTATGGCAAGGTTTCAATATTTCTCAAGACTGTACTGCTGTCTCTGGAAACAAGATGATGTCAATCAGTTACAGAATTAATTACAAAATTAATTACAGAATTTATTACAGAATTAATAACAGAATTAATTACAGAATTTATTACAGAATTAATTACAGAATTAATTACAGAATGCTTGAAAAAATTCGATGCTCTATTAAAATCTTTTCACACCAAACTGATGATTGGAATGGTTTTGTTCAACATTGGTTGTCTGAGTTGGTGGTTTTGTTCAACATTGGTTGTCTGAATTGGTGGTTTTGTTCAACATTGGTTGTCTGAGTTGGTGGTTTTGTTCAACATTGGTTGTCTGAGTTGGTGTTTTTGTTCAACATTGGTTGTCTGAGTTGGTGGTTTTGTTCAACATTTGTTGTCTGAGTTGGTGGTTTTGTACAACATTGGTTGTCTGAGTTGGTGGTTTTGTTCAACATTGGTTGTCTGAGTTGGTGGTTTTGTTCAACATTGGTTGTCTGAGTTGGTGGTTTTGTTCAACATTGGTTGTCTGAGTTGGTGGTTTTGTTCAACATTTGTCTGAGTTGGTGGTTTTGTTCAACATTTGTTGTCTGAGTTGGTGGTTTTGTTCAACATTGTCTGAGTTGGTGTTTTTGTTCAACATTGGTTGTCTGAGTTGGTGGTTTTGTTCAACATTTGTTGTCTGAGTTGGTGGTTTTGTACAACATTGGTTGTCTGAGTTGGTGGTTTTGTTCAACATTGGTTGTCTGAGTTGGTGGTTTTGTTCAACATTGGTTGTCTGAGTTGGTGTTTTTGTTCAACATTGGTTGTCTGAGTTGGTGGTTTTGTTCAACATTTGTTGTCTGAGTTGGTGGTTTTGTACAACATTGGTTGTCTGAGTTGGTGGTTTTGTTCAACATTGGTTGTCTGAGTTGGTGGCTTTGTTCAACATTGGTTGTCTGAGTTGGTGGTTTTGTTCAACATTGGTTGTCTGAGTTGGTGGCTTTGTTCAACATTGGTTGTCTGAGTTGGTGGCTTTGTTCAACATTGGTTGAGTTCCACAGCTAAATCATTGGCTCTGGTTGAGTTTTGAAAGCTGGGCAGAAGAACTGACCCATACGTTTGGCAGGAAATAAAGGTCGAACTATAACTTGTGTACACTGAATACGGGGTCCTAGTGGTCGATTGATTGGTGTTGAATTGTGGGGGGGGGGGGGGGGGGCTGATTCTTGACGGCCACATACTTAGTCTGGGGTCCCGCATTAGCTGACAGAAATGAGCTGCTCGGCAGAAATCTGACACAGAATGTTCTAGAGGTTTATAGAAATGTTTACTGTTGTCATAGCGACAACCTAGAGGTTTATAGAAATGTTTAGCAACAACCTATTCAAATGTTCGAACGACACTGACAGGAAGTTGAAGGTCGCATGTGGGAAGTTAAAGAGGCACGTGCGATGCTCATCAACCAGATGTAGGGCTGACACATAGGACGGCGTGGTCAGCAGATAGTGTTCGACTGCTTAAATGAACGTTTTGGAGTTCGGATCTAGGATGGCGTCTGTAAAACGTCAGCTCTCTGTGGATTGGACCGCACCACCCCTTCATGTCTTGTACACAGAAACAAATAAACTCTACTTCATCGGAGACCCCCCCCTCTCCCCCATCCCTGTCTAGTGATCAAAGAATTGTAAGATTTCCCCTGTCGCCACTGTCGCTCATAAAACACTTGAGTCGTTGTATTCGACACATTAAATAGCCACCGGCACATTTCTTTACAGTGATTTACATACTAATGCAACAGTATATATTTGGGGAAATAATTTATTTTCTTCTCTTTTTTAAAAGCTTGTTATTTTATTATACAATTTTTATTCAACATTTATACATACCTAGATCTTGGCATGGCATTTGACGTGATTTGATTCAGGACAATCACACAACTATGACGTCACACTATTAATGGATGAACATTGTGGAACAGCTAAGGGTCGGTGGTTCGAATACCTGTGAGAAATTGCCAGGCCTCTGTACATCTGTGTATAGAGTGCCACCGATGGGGAACTGTGTGTCCAATCATTGGCCAGATCAAACGTCAGAGTGACTCACTTAGATGACGGAATAAACCAGCGAGCTACGTAACATATCATTGGGGGAAATGAGGTCAAGTTATAAATAAAACGTACCAGTTGTTGTCATGTTCTCGTGACGATCCTACTTTAATTGACGAGGATAAATTGAAGACAACTTGTAAAGTGTAATTAAAGCGTTGTTAGATTGGGGAAAAGTTGTAATTTGTAAATTAACCGTTGTTAGATTGGGGAAAAGTTGTAATTTGTAAATAAACCGTTTTTAGATTAATTGAGTAGACAGCATTGTCTCAGTAGAACCAAGGGAGGTAATTCCTGTATTTGTGTGGCACTTAACTACAGGCTAGGTCACGTGATGGTAGACTGTGTCATGTGATGCTAGACTGTTAGAACCGTTAAAATACTTTGTTGTGGTTAGGTCGATAGTCAGTAACAAGACAGTTAGGGGGAGGGGCAGAGAGGGAGGGGCAGTGGGTGGAGGGGAGGGTTGGGGTAATAAATAGAGTAACGGGTTAATTGCGACAATCCAAAAATTATGACTGTAATCAGATAAAGTAGCAAGAGAAATGGATGTATAAAACATCAAAACGACATCAAGAAAACTTGATGTTTTGATGTCTTGAACGAAGTGACGTGGGTAGAATCTGACGTCACAGCCTGCTCGTGAGTGGACGTGTTATGTAGCACCCATTAATCTGATGTTTACATTCACTTTGTTGCCTAGCAACGTTTTAAAAAGTGACCAGACGATTCAATGTGTCCACGGGTTACCGGACATCACAAGTCACGTGATCTGTACACACACGAGCATACACGTTGTTTAATGTGACAGCAACATTCACACTTTATAGCTTAATGTGATCTACACAAACATTCACACTTTATAGCTTAATGTGATTTACAACTAAATTTCCCGTTTATATCTAAAAATATATGTCAATTTTGATTGCCAGCAAAAATTGGCTAGATTTACTCACTGTTCTGTTTGAGATTCACATTTGTCTACATCAAGTAGTGCAGGCGCAGGTCAGTGATGTGTCTAAACTTTGACTTGACCCAACGAACTCTTGACCGTCACTCTAGAGTCAGTGGTGTGTCCACACGTTGACTTGACCCAACATCATCTTGACCGTCACTCTAGAGTCAGTGGTGTGTCCACACATTGACTTGACCCAACATCATCTTGACCGTCACTCGAAACAAACCCGCCCTTGTAAAGCTAGAGCCGACTGACATCCGGTGTTAAGTTAAGCTGGGGATTTGTCAAACTGACCTTAATCTAGAGTTGGGATTATATAGCTGCCATATTGGATAACGTGTTATAAAAAGGACAAATAATCTCACATTATATTTGACACTCAGCAAAGTTTTAGATTTCTGAAAGTCATGTGTGTACCATCTAACCAATCAATGGTTGGCTTTGGCCTGTCTATCAACCAATCAACTGTTAGCTTTGGCCCGTCTATCAACCAATCAACTGTTAGCTTTGGCCCGTCTATCAACCAATCAACTGTTAGCTTTGGCCCGTCTATCAACCAATCAACTTTTAGCTTTGGCCCGTCTATCAACCAATCAACTGTTAGCTTTGGCCCGTCTATCAACCAATCAATGGTTGGCTTTGGCCCGTCTATCAACCAATCAAATGTGTCCGTCTGGAAATATGACTCACCCAGCGTGTGGCTACTGCAGTACCTGACAGACTGCGTCTTCATCCAGTTCGTCTGTCTGTTGGGAATTCTGGGTAACGTCTTGACCTTGATGGTGCTGCTCAAGGACGGCCGTACCAGCAGCACCAACATGCTGCTGACGTCCATGACCTTGGTGCACCTGCTGACCGTGCTGACCACGCCCATCCGGCGCGCCAACTGCGTCATCTCGCTCTTCGACCCTGACCTTGCCGCCATGTTTTACCTGTACCAGTTCTGTTACCTGTCAGCCATCAACAGGCTCACCGCCATCTTGTCGACGTCACACGTGGCCTTGATCTCCGTCGAGAGGTTCATGGCCGTCTACTACCCGTTCCACGTCACCTTCACCTTCTCCCAGCGGAAAACCTTGACCTACATCCTACTGACCTATATGTTTTGGCTGGGGTTGTCTCTGCCGTATTTCTTTAGCTATCAGCTGACCTGGACTCATGACGTCACCAATCGCTCGGTGCCAGCACTCAGAACAAAGCCACGCTCAACTTCATCCGCAACATCATCATTAGCATCGTCCGCGGGCCGATCCTGATGGGCGTGGTCCTCGTCTGCTCTCTCCTCATCGGCTTCCGGTTGCACAAGAAAGGCGTGGCGCGCGCCAAGATCTCCAGCGCCAAGTCCGGCCTTGACCTTCGAGTAGTTCGAATGCTGCTAGCCGTGTGTGTGGTGTTCCTGTGTGTGGCCATGCCTGTCTACGCCATCTACCTCTACTACTACATCTGGCCGCCGCCCCCTCGCTCTGACCTGTATTTGTTCCTTGTCCTTGACCTCGCTGACCTTCTCTACGCTATCCACGCATCCGCCAACTTTTTTATCTACATTTCGATGTCCAGAAGATTTCTCAAGGTGGCCAAAAGTTTGTTCTCAGTCACATGAGGATGGCCGGTGGGTGGAATATGTCAAAGGCTTAGGGTTTATACCTTTTTAAACAAACGTTCTCGTCTGTCCAGGGAAACTATTTTTAAACTGCTACGGTCAGCAGTCCTGTCCTTTTTACCCCCCCCCCCCACCCGCTCGCCTCAAGCTGCTCTAAGACAACATCTGAAATGTTTACTGTTTATTTTTGACCGTCAAAATATTTCAAAATACAATGGGTCACATTTAAATCAACACAGGATATATTCAAATTAATTAAACAATAAACAGTTAACAGTTTGTTTCTCTGTCCACAGTTTGTCTGTCAACAGTTTGTCTGTCAACAGTTTGTCTGTCAACAGTTTGTCTGTCAACAGTATGTCTGTCAACAGTTTGTCTGTCAACAGTTTGTCTGTCAACAGTTTGTCTGCCAACAGTTTGTCTGTCAACAGTTTGTCTGTCATCTTGTCATATTTGTGACTAATGTTGGTCATCTTGTACAAATTTGTGACTACAATGTTTCGAAACTTGACTACAAAGTTTTCAAACATGACAATAATGTTTTAAACTTGACTACAATATTTTGAAACTTGACTACAATGTTTGTTTTGAAATTTGACACCAATATTTGAAACTTGACAACAATATTTGAAACTTGACAACAATATTTGAAACTTGACAACAATATTTGAAACTTGACAACAATATTTAAAACTTGACAACAATATTTGAAACTTGACAACAATGTTTGAAACTTGACAACAATATTTGTAACTTGACAACAATATTTGAAACTTGACACCAATATTTGAAACTTGACACCAATATTTGAAACTTGACACCAATAATTAAAACTTGACAACAATATTTGAAACTTGACAACAATATTTGAAACTTGACACCAGTATTTGAAACTTGTCAACAATATTTGAAACTTGACAACAATATTTGAAACTTGACAACAATATTTGAAACTTGACAACAATATTTGTAACTTGACAACAATATTTGAAACCTTGACAACAATATTTGAAACTTGACAACAATATTTGAAACTTGACAACAATATTTGAAACTTGACAACAATATTTGAAACTTGACAACAATATTTGAAACTTGACACCAATATTTGAAACTTGACAATAGTTGCAAGAACTTCTCACATCTCACAAGCGAAGTTGTTGAGGTCGAAGCAGTCGGCCACAAGGATGGTGTGGTTGTGTGGACAGAACTTGCAGCAGTTGCCGTTGAAGTAGGTTTTCGTCTGCTCCCCTTCTGCCAACAGTGACGTCATCAGTATGTCGGGGATGGGGACGGAGGACTGGGTCCAGACATAGACAAGGTCAAGGTCAAAGTCGTCACACCCGATCCAGAAATCTTTGGGGTAGGTCATGTTCTTGAGCAGCTCCATCTTGGTCAGGTCTGGCACCGTCACGGCCTTGGCGGCCATCTTGTCGCATGCAAGGATGGCGTCGAAGTAGGTCAGGTCACTGGGGAAGATGCCGATACAAGCAGACGACGGCTGGGTGCCGTGCAGAGAGAAGCCGGCGCTGGTGTTACAGGCGGGGGGTGCTGGCGGGGGGCTAAACTTCTGATACAGGGCGCCCTCGGCCTGGGTTGGGGGCGGCTGGGAGGCTGAGACCTTGGCACCGGGGGTGCAGAGGCCGGTGGCCGAGTTGTACAGGAAGCTCTCACAGCTTGGCGACATGCGCGCGCAGCTGATGTAACAGGAAGTGGCCGTGTGGGCCGTCCAGCCTGGGCCAAGGCGGACCGGACCGGAAGTGGGTGACGTCATCCGCTGGAACGTCTGCAAGTCTTGAGAGCTGGCAGACGTCAAGAGCAAGCCTGGGGAAGGTCGGGGGTCAAGGCCGTTAGGTGAATGTCTGAGACTTGTCTGAATTTCTTTAAAACGTTTCCATCAAATCTTTACATGACTGAGGTGCCACAAAGATTCTAAAGCAAATATTTTAGCCGACCGGCACATATTTTAGCCGACCGGTTAAACAACTGAGGTCAGAAAAAAGTGGCTCTAAATTTTGGGACAATCTGCTCGATGTCTCAGCTCAAATGTTACAAAAACTAGGGTGTCTCACAAGATACAGGTGTGGGTACCCACACGATGCAGATGTGGGTACCCACACGATACATGTAAGGGTAACAATGTCCTGCATGCACATATACCTCCCACCCCCTCCCTAAACACACACACACACACCTACCTGTAGTTAAAATAATGAAGTTCATGACGTCACTTCCCTGCAGATGAATCTGGAAACGTATCAGAAGAAGTTTTGATATACTAGATGTACCTGTAACATTTGATATACTAGATCTACCTGTAACATTTGATATACTAGATCTACCTGTAACATTTGATATACTAGATCTACCTGTAACATTTGATATACTAGATCTACCTGTAACATTTGATATACTAGATCTACCTGTAACATTGATATACTAGATCTACTACGCCATTAGCTTGGATGCGATAGAGCAGTGTTGAAAAACACTAATTTAAAACTGCAACTTGAAAAATTACTAACTTAAAACTGCAACTTTAAAAATTACTTACTTAAAACTGCAACTTGAAAAATTACTAACTTAAAACTGCAACTTGAAAAAATACTACTTTGGAAACTACTGCTTGAAAAACTACTACCATAATCTACTACTTAAAAATCTACTACTTTAAAACTTGACATGGTATTACTACGCAAATAAATTTCCTACCTTATGATTTTTCTTCCAATAAAAATACGTGACCTGTAACTACGATCGGATTGTTCTAGAAATGTTTTAAAATTTTCAGTTCCAAATGTGGAATCCTGCCTCGCGTCTTATAAAACAGATTTTCCAATTTTTTGTTTGCTTGTAAATTGTCATTCTCTCAATAGGGCATACTAAAATATTTGCCAACGTTTCAAGTGTTGAAAGAACGAGAACTTGGACAACAATTTCCTTTTGTTAGCCTCAGCTGGTATTTACGGGAAAGTTCGAGATCCTGATGACACCGTCTATGTCAATATTGGCTGACATATTCACTAAGGTGATAAAATAGATTTTTGTCAAACCTATCTCTTATTGATTTTTGTCTATTAGAATTTTGTCAAATACATTTGAAATTATTAGATTATAGGAATATTGATTTTTGCGAAGTAGATTTTTATTTCAAATAAATATTTGTTTCTTGTGTGTCAGATCTGAATAAACTTTTGAATGTTTTGTCAAATTGATGTGACAATTTTGTGACAAGGCGCAGTGACAAAAATATTTTCGTCAGGGTTTTGTTTTTGTTCTCAACAGCGGCCTTTTATTCACACATATCTCTCCACATATCTCTCCACATATCTCTCCACACATCATTCACACATATCTCTCTACACATCTCTCCACACATCATTCACACATATCTCTCCACATATCTCTCCACACATCTCTCCACACATCATTCACACATATCTCTCCACATATCTCTCCACACATCTCTCCACACATCATTCACACATCATTCACACATCATTCACACACCTCTCCACCCATCATTCACACATATCTCTGCACACATCTCTCCACACATCTCTCCACACATCATTCACACATATCTCTCAACACATCTCTCTCTATATTTCTCCACACATCTCTCCACACATCTCTCCACACATCTCTCCACACATCTCTCCAAACATCTCTCCACACATCTCTCCACACATCTCTCCACACATCTCTCCACACATCTCTCCACACATCTCTCCACACATCTCTCCACACATCTCTCCACACATCTCTCCACACATCTCTCCACACATCTCTCCACACATCTCTCCACACATCTCTCCACACATCTCTCCACACATCTCTCCACACATCTCTCCACACATCTCTCCACACATCTCTCCACACATCTCTCCACACATCTCTCCACACATCTCTCCACACATCTCTCCACACATCTCTCCACACATCTCTCCACACATCTCTCCACACATCTCTCCACACATCTCTCCACACATCTCTCCACACATCTCTCCACACATCTCTCCACACATCTCTCCACACATCTCTCCACACATCTCTCCAATGTTGAACAAAATGTTGGATGTATTTCTATTTTTAACTTTATTTTTCTGTACATTGTTCCGGTCTAACAGTATCGCACTTTTTTATATCGATACTCAGACAAGGATGATATATATATACTTAGACAAAGTGAAGATATCGATACTCAAACCAAAGGTGATATCGATGTCCATGCTTTAATTGTTTCCCAAACGAATATGCTTAAAACACTTGGTTAATTTAGCTGAATAATATCATTATTTATAGACATTCAAAAACAAAAGGAAACAATTGTACTTTTTCTATAAGGTGAGTAGGGTATTGTTTCATCGGGCAAGGGGGTAATTTGTAAACAGCTGTCTGGCGAATCTTTGTGACGTCACAGATCACGTGATTAGTTATTGATTGACGGGGCTGATATTGGTACTTTGTTTAATTAACGACAATCAATCGAATTTAAAATTGATTGCAAGCTAGATGTCTTACATCTACTGACCCAGGTTTTCAGCATATAGAATGTTAGGGGGGGGGTGGAGGGGGTGGACACTGTTAGATATATTTTTCTATATCAATTCCCTTTCGTTCGGGGGGGGGGGTAGACTTTGAGGGGGCTCAGAA